TATATATGTATGTATATATGTGTATATGTATGTATACATATGTATGTATGTATGTATGTATATATATATACACATGTATGTGCATATATGTGCATGGGGCGCGAATGACCTGATATCACGTAACACTCCTTTAACAAACACTTTGATTCACTCACATCATAGCTTTTGCATTGATCTCCCGGGGGCTTGGGTACAGTATACGGTATTATTCCATTTAACCCAGTGTCAGTACGCGATTTCTCTGTGGAGTTCTCAGACTGACAGCTTATTTGTTCCCAATACTTTACAAAGAAAGATTTATGACCAAATGAAAAGAAAAATGAGACCAGGCAAAAGAAAAAGGCTTTCTGTAGTGACATTTATTAGCACTGCTGTGTCCATTATCTGGAAAGACAAAATGTGTTAACATGTCTTATCTCAGCATGGATGAAAAGCGTTTTTTTTTTTTTTTCCCCCCTCCAAAAGCTAAAACCTGAGTCGGAAATGTCAGGGAGGCATTAGAGAAGAAAGGTGGCGCTGACGCCGAAAGTGTGAGATACGGGTATCGAGAATCCAACATCTCTGTAAAAGAGCGAGTGTGTATATCACTCCATCCCGACACCGCCGTAACTTATTAGCTAACAAACGGAGTGAATGCTTTTTTTTCCCCCACTATCTCTCACACCTGCTGTCCGTTTGTGAGATGTGCTGACCTGTGTTCTGAATTAAAGCGGGCCAGTGTGTTGAGAACCCCTGGGCACTGCTGACACGTCGCGTAAGTAGCTGAGGTCTTTGATGGATGAGTCTTATTTTCTTGTCAACTTCGGACTCCTTTGATGTTTATCTTGATATCGTCTTGATTGGCTTTCGTTTATCCAGTACAGACCGGACAGTACGGGAAGAGAACCGAAAGGGTGGTGTGCGGAAAAAAGGAGAGTCAGTCAAAGGAAGAAAAATTCCTCTTCAACTAAAACGGCTGGACAGCAGGAAATTGACCGGAGAAGACCTGCACTGAACTGCGCATCAAGTGTTCCGGATAAGACACAAGTCCGGATTAGATACACGCTCGTGTCATGTTTTTCGTTCCACACACAGATAAATTCTGAAGTCAAAGCCCTGACCTTTTTCTGACACGATTAACTTTATTTAATAACAATAATCATAATAATAATAATGGAGACAATGTGTGTTGTCTCTAAATAATCAATCTCATCAGAATCGCAGAACTCAGGAAAGGCAGGAAAGTACAGTGGCACCTCAAGATACGAGCGTCCCCCGATATACGAGTATGCCGAGATAAAAAGCAAGTCTTCATAAGCAAAATGTTTGCTTTGAAATATGAGTAAAAAATTAGAAACACCAGCGCCCTTACTGCCGCCGACGCTAGCTCGCCTCACTCGTTCACTTCACGTGTTCGTCGACCTCCGTATATATCTCCCGCCAGTCTTCCGTATTGTCTTTGCGTTATCTACATGATTTTTTTGTCTCCATTTTGTGCATTATTGTTTATAATTGGGATTAGTCCTAAGAAAGTGAGTGGTAATGATGGTAGTGAGAAGACGAAAGAATGCAATTGTTGATAAATATAAACATGGCAAACAAGTTTATGTAAGTTACCTAACTCAACATGTGTAAAATAAATAAATATATATATGTATATATGTGTATATATGTATGTATATATGTATGTATATATGTATATATGTGTATATGTATATATATGTATGTGTATATGTGTGTATATGTGTATATATGTATATATGTGTATATATATGTGCATATATATGTGCATATATATGTGCATATATGTGCATATATGTGCATATATGTGCATGGGGCGCGCGTGAGCTGTTAAAACGCTGTTTTGTGTTCTGTTGTGGTCTTTGAGGTTTGAGAAGCTGGTCCTCCAGGTCGTTATCTTGCTCCCGGGATGATCAATGTGTCTTGGTATTCCATTGTGACGGTGGATATCGTCCCAGCGCTTTGCACTGAGGGTTCAGCGCTGCGGTGAATTCTTTAAATGCCGGCTGTTCAACCAAGGAAATGGGGGTGGTGACCTTTGGCAAATAAGCCTGATAAGGAGCCTGTCAGTTGTCTGTTTAGACCTCAAATTGGGCCTGGTTGTCTGTTTGTTTGCTCGGCTTGCTAAAGCCTCCTTGTAGTAAGAAACTACTGTATTGGCTTAAATGAAATGGCACTCTTGTCGATGTTGAGCGCAGTCTAGCGTAGTAGCATGGCAATGCATATACGTGTAGACTTGTTTCTGTAGCCTACTTGATGCACTCCACTCTGATCCCGTCGAGTGTGAAAACGGGATTTGTGTAGTCATTAAGAGTTTCGTTTGGACATGATGCACAGTTGGGATTCTTGTTGCTGTCTTAAAGTAAATCTGCGGTAATCATCAAGGCCCTCTGGTGGTACATTGTTAGATGAGCAGTATTCCACATCCCAACCCAAGGGAAATTGAAACTGTCTTACATTGATTTTTTTTTTTTAAGACCTGTTTTTCAAATGACCTGACCTGAAGTCAATGTCTTTCAGGGTTTTCGCATGATTCCTGGATGGAAAGAACATCAGCTTCAACTTCACCTATCAAAGGTCAAGTCCATCATAATGGTAAGTAAAAATTGCCTCTACCGCTCTATAAACCTGGACACGAATATGCTGTTTACATGCTTCTTTTTGACCTTTTCGGTCTGTCCCCTGATCTTGTCGCATCTACCGATCTGTCTCCCGATTTTGTCGGTTTAGTATAAACCTGGACACGAATATGCTGTTAACATGCTTCTTTTTGTCCTTCTTGGTGGCATTACATTAAATTAGCCTTTTTTTTTTAGCCTCATTACTTTGAGCAATTAACGTGTAATTAATTCTTTTTGAGGTTTGAGTGACAATTAAGATTAAACCCAGTCCTCACAGTACATATGCAGTAGATGGAT